CCCCTTCACCCCCTCGCCCCGCCCGGGCCTCACGCCGCCATGGGCGTGTGCGGCCGCACCGGAGCCGCGGGGGCGGGGTCCCGGCCGCCCCGCACGGGCAGGGCGACCTCGGGCTTTCTGCTGAGGCAGGGGAGGAGGGAGGGGGGGGTCTCGGCAGCGCTGCGCCTCTCCTTGGGGAAAGGGGGCTGGACGCCCCGCCGGGAGCCTCCTGGGGCGGCCCGGCCTTCTATCTCTCTGCCTTCGGAGAGTGGGGGGAAAAGATGTCTCCCGTGCTGCTGCCTCCTGACCTCTAGGAGTGATTTCCACTCTGAACCAGGTTTGGAGGGGGCGGTGGGATTCTCCACCCGACGGAGAATAAAGTAAAGCCTCTGGCCCCCTGGATTGCTGCACTGGACTCCGAACGAAGAGTGTGGGATTCCTGGAGTCTCCTAAATTCCTGATATATATACACATACATACACACTTTAATACAATAGAAATATCTATTATCCAAGAAAATGGAAGAGGATAATGGAGGTGTCTTCCTTTGATCTTCCAAACCTGCAGGGAGTTTTAAGGGAAGGGTGTGGGGGAGAGACTGCAGCCTTATCCCAACCCAAATGGGGCATTGTTGGGCCTGTAAACTTGCATCTAATACTGCTTTATGTAGACTAGGAGGAGAAGATAAATTAAGGCTTTTACCTGTCACTGCTGCCCACTCATCCTACACCAAAGGGTGAATCTTATTTCCTTAGTTGCTTCTTTTAGAAAGAAAGACTTGAGATCACAGCTGCCATCATAGCCCTCATGTAGTCTTGAGTGGAAAGCAGAACAAAGTGGCTAGCAGTCACAGGCTTTCTGTGGATCCAGTGTCTTGTAATTCTATGTGCTTCTGCAGGGTAAAGAAGATGGTAGCTGAGGTGATACATACCATTTTTTCTTTGGGGGCCAGGAGTGTGTACTTTGGTGTGTGTCCACATTTCTTCTGAAGTCAAAGGAGGGTAGCCTGTGTTCATTCTCCCATGTCTAAATTTTTTGCCTTCTATTGATCTTCTTTTGTCCAGCTCTCTTGAAATCTAAGCTAACAGGTTTTGTCTGAATAAAAAAAGTGATTAAACTGATGCAAACCCGGATTTGGACTTCACTCGTGACCACCTAACCTGAGTTAAAAATTGTGTTAGCAGCAGGACATTTACAGTAAAAATCTAATTAGCAGGCAGATGAGCACTTGTGTGTGAGTGTTCCTTGCATGATTGGTATTCTGAACATAAGTTCAAATACATACCTGTTTTGAGGAGCTGCTAGGCCTACTGTAAATAGACTGGGTTGCATGTAATTTGTGAGATTCAGCTCTCTAGGATGTCTTTCATGTCACATTTTAATGTATATTTGAAGAAACAAAGCAGTAGTTCCAGAACCTGAAAAATGATGGGAAGTGGGCTTGTATCAGTGTATGTGGCTCTTTACAACATGAGCAGAGTTCTGCTTTGAAAGCTTTTCCCTGTTGAACCTGCCCTGTTATTTAAAGGATGTGAAGATTGAACAGCTGAGGTGTTTACTAAACATTCTATTGGTCTTTTGACTAATAGTAAGTATTAAGAAAGACAGCCTATTAAAAATAATGTCTGGGAGGTTGGCATTGAGGTAAAAAATAAGTTCCCAAACATCTGTTAAAGTAAAATTAATAATTTGAAAAACCTGGAAAAAACCTTTTTCATTTAAAATATGTCATAATAAAAAGAAAAGTTGGAAATAAAGCCCTTGGAAATTTCCAGAATGCATGTAGAGGAGTTTGGCTAATCTAGAAGCTGAAATTGCCTTGGGAGTTCTCCTGTCTTGTGTTTCTGGTTGTGGAGAGTCACCTGGGGAAGAAGCATGGGTGGGAAGGGATGTGCCTTACATCTGTATTGTCTTGCTGGGCTGTGAGGTATGGCTGGGGGGACCAATAGTGAATTTTTTTTCTTCTTTATATATGAGAACTAAAGAAGCACCTGTTGTCAGTGTTATTTTTGTTGGTGGTGGTTTTGTTGTTTTTTATTTTAAACAAAGAAAAGACAATAACTTCTGGGGTGGAACATTGCAATTCTTGAACAGTGCTGCTTTGAAAACCCAGTGACTGTTTGTAGTGTGGTCTTGTGCCATGAGTCACAGATTTGGGTGTATGCCTTTAGCTGTGGAATTAGTGAGAACTGGAAGGGGGAATTCAAATAAAGCAAGCATTTGCCATGCTGCCTTGATCTGCACTCTTTACTGTTGAAGTAATAAAAATAATGGTAAGATATTTTGTAGGCTCTGCAGTGGTATTTAGGTTTTGTATCCTTGTCTTAGTCCAAGTTTAAATTGCTAAAATAATTGATTCATCAAAATGGCAAATTAAGTAGAAAAGAAAATAATCAGGGAAGCGCAGGATGAAGAGTGTAAAGAAGTATTCAGCTAGAGAATGAAAAGAGCAATATATTTTAGCTTAACTTTTTGGAAAAGCTTTTGCATCAGATTTTCAAGTACTTTACAGTGGGAGTATTGTCCCCATTTTACAGGTGAAGAGTGTGCCACATTTATCCTGCCTTGCAGAACTGAGAGGAAAAGCAAAGCTTTCCTAGCAAAGCAAAGGTTTCCTAGCTCAGTGCTAGGGTAGTCACCGAGCTGTTGGCTGAGAAACCCAGGGGTGAAGTGGATCCTGTATAAATGAATTGTGTCAGGTCTTAAGGTGAAATATAAATGCAGCTGTAATATAGCTGAATATTTTCTAGAATTACCAGTTGAAATTATCACATGCAAATAGAAACAACTGCAAGCTGAAGCATGCCTTCAGGCATGGAGGGATGAAGCTGGGAGGCTTTGTGCTATTTCTGCATAAAACAGAGGGTAAAGCTGTGGTTCTCCTGGGCCTTATGAGAAACTTTTGCCACTGGTTGCAGTCTTGGAGATGAGGTGGTTTTGACCTTGGTGTAAATCATTGCCTGGTTGCCTTCTAAGCCGAATCAGGTTTCGGACACAGCCTGCAACTTGTTTAGGGTGAGATTTTGATGTAATTGTAAGTGTATTACTAGCTCTCCTTGTGAATTTTGTTGACAATTAAAGTGGTGCCAAAGACACGAGTGTTAAACAGCCTATTCTGTACTAGTTGTGAAGCCTGTAGGTCAAGGTGAAGGCATGCTGCAGGGCAGTGATTAATAGTGCATGGATGTGAAGTCCATGGGGTCCTTGGTTGAGGGCTTCTGGCCACAGAGGACACAGGTTCTTATAAAAAACCATTGTATAGCAGACTGAGCAGTTGAAGCAAGTGATAAATATGGCAGTGTTAGTGCTTGCAGGATTGTGCAGTTCGGCGATCTGTTGTAAATCAAGGAGGAGAAGCCAGCTGTGCTTATCAAAGTATCAGGGCATCTTGGAACTCAGTTCAGTAAGTAGCTTTTGGGGGTGAGATGTAGCAAGTCTCTTGTGTTCTGTAGTGCAGGAGTTTAGAGGCCTTCAGTGGCAACTGGAGTTCGTGCACTCCCTGGCTATGGAGTCCGTAACAGAGCTCTCAGCTTCCCTTGCCAGAGGAGGCTGCCTGCTGCCACCAGCTTGCCTTACTTAAGCCT